GAGGAAACGGCCGCAGGCAGAAGCCACACTCGGATGGCAGCTCACTCACTGCCTTCTCCACGGCCAGGTTCCGGCAGCACAGGCTCTTGCTGATCTCACAGCGGCAATTGGGGCAGGTGGCCTGTTCCTCCTTCAGCCGGGCATCGGCCAGCAGGTGGATAAAGCAGCCAGCGCACATCAGGTGCCCGTTCGTACACTGCGGAGAAGGAAAGGGAAACGAAACTTCAAAGACCTTGCGGGAAAGACCCACAGACTCCCCCTTCCCCTCCGCCCACTGGCACGCGAGGCTGCCTAGTGCTGGCTACAAGCACCCCCCGCCTGGGCTGCCTCCGGGCATGTGCTGCAGCTGGGGGGGCGCAGCCGGGCCGTGTGTGAGAAGAGGAATTATTTTTAAATGCACAAATAAGCTCCCGGTCCCAGGCCAGGGAGAAATCCTGCAGCTGGGGGGGAGCTGCCGGGCCGTGTGTGAGAAGAGGAATTATTTTTAAATGCACAAATAAGCTCCCGGTCCCAGGTCAGCGAGAAACGGAGCATCCGCTGCCAGGGACACCGCAGCCCAGCCCAGCCCAGCCTCCCCAGTTCGGTGAGAGCCCTCTGCGGCTCTTCGCAGCCTGCTGGGACGCACTGGCTGCATTAGCCGCATGGATTGGCACCTCGCTGATTACACCTTGGTCCAGATCGTTTATAGAATCATAGCACAAAAGAGCAGGAAGGGACCTCGAGGGGGCATCGAGTCCAGTCCCCTGCACCCCCCCCCCCCAGCAGGACCCAGCACCATCTAGATCAGGCCTGGGAAGCCTAAGGCCCAGGGGCTGGATGTGGCCCCTGGGTTGCCTGGATCTGGCCCCCGAGGCTTAGGGCTTCCCCCCACCACCTTACCCTGATCTAGAGCATCCCTGATGTCTATCAAACCTGCTCTTAATATCTCCAGAGATGGAGATTCCACAACCTCCCTGGGCAATTGATTCCAGTGTTTCACCACCCTGATGGGTCTGCACCCTTTCCTAATGTCCAACCTAAACCTCCCTTACTACAGTTTAAGCCCGTTGCTTCCTGTCCTGTCCTCAAGGGTAATTTTCTCCCTATTATGAACACACTGAACAGCACTGGTCTTCGTACAGACCCCTGGAGGGACACCACTAGATCCCCCTGGTCCACGTGTTTATTGACACCTCCCCGCAAGGGATGCTAGTCGATTGGTGAGGCTAGAGTTTCCTTTACAAAAGCCATGTTGACTTTTCCCTCAACAAGTTACGTTTATCTACGTCTCTGACGATATTTTTTTTTACTATGGTTTCTACCAGTTTGCCCAGTACTGAAGTCAGGCTTAACGGTCTGGAATTGCTGGGATCACCTCTGGAGCCCTTTTTAAAGAAATCGGCATCACCTTAGCTACCCTCCTGTCATGTGGTACAGACGTGGCTGTGACGACAGGTCACAAACCAGAGGATGACTAATTCAATCCATTTTCAGAGAAAGATCACCAGCACAGCTGGCAGTAGTAACCAGATAAGCAGCAACCAATAAAAACAGCCGCTTTCTGAGAGAGAAGCAAAGTAAAAACGACTGTCATCCTACCACAGGTAGGGCGCATTTGGGCCTTTCTGTAGCTTGAAAGTCAAATAGCCAGATGTGAGCAATATTCATGACTCGAACAAGACACCAGCCCTTCCTTAGGCAAGCCCTTGGATTTCCCAGATGGTTTTACATTGGCTACAGTGCAACGTGCTTCTGTCCATAACTGGACTTCTATCTGCAAGGTCCTGCTGGCCCTTTCCTTCCTCTCTACCTTACGCAAAAAAGCTTGTTCGTAAAATATAGTTTTCCCAAGCCTGAGACAATTAAAGAGACTCCAGCCCCGCACATGCCATGCTCCTGGAAGGCTGAAGAGGGAACACCACCACTGTTCCGAGAGAAACGGTATCAGTGCGAGTCCTAGCATAAAATTCCTCAGAGTAGCCGAGCCGTGGTCAGCGACCCTGGCTGGCACTTGGGTGGAGAGCGCTGTCAGGTACAGGGGTGAAATGGAAAAGCTGCGACCAAGCAACGCACCCACTGCGTGAAAACACTCTGGGAAAACAAACCCAGAACCCACTAGTAAGGAGTCGGCCTATCTGCTAGCATAGCTGGTGAGCGGCCACGTTTCTAGTCGGTTTTCCTTCATAAGTCGCGTTGCCTCCGAGAGATTTACCCCCCGGGCAAAGTTACTTCCGACCGGCCTCGCACATGTAGTAAGACGAAGGCCTAAAACAGGGGTGGCCAACCCGCGGCTCGCGAGCCACCCCTGCGCCTTTACAAACGGCCCCTGGCTCCCCGTGCTCACCGGGGCAGGGGAGCCGTCCGGAGCGGCGATTCAAAATGGCATCACTAAGATGGTGTCGGCTGATGGGAGCCTGATGTAGCCAAAAAGCCCTGTCTTTTAAAGGGGCAGCGTCTCTTTTTTTGGGGGGGGGGTCACTCCCTCTGGGGGGGGGGCCTAACCAAAAATTGCTCAAAAAAAATCCTGGTGCGGCTCTTCACATTTTTTCCGCCGCTATTTCGGCTCTCTTTGTTTAATGGATTGGCCATCCCTCGCCTAAAACATAAGCCAATGCAGCACAGGCTTGGTCTGAGGCCTGAGGCCTAGCTAACAATGGACACAACATGGCTAACAAAGCAAAGCTAAGCTGTGAGCCAGAGGCAGGCCCCAGCTCACAGATCTTGGCATGAACACAGCTGAGCGCGCAAAACACTAATTGGTGCTAGGTACTGACTGCAGAACAGTAATTGGTCCTGGTTCTAAGTGGAAAGCACATGATCTCACTCGCTCATTAAAAAAGACCTTGGTACTCACTCCTCACAGATACAGACCCAGGTTCAAGTAAGGGTCTAAAATGACAGCCCGATTCATAGAAACGATCTAATCAAACCATGAGGTACAGAGTGATGGGTGGTATCTAAGTAGCGTCAGAAGGTTACAACCTGACATCAGCAGTGATGTGTAAGTTGTTAGTACCTGTATATAAGGTGGTGTCTTGGGGGGAACAGTCTTTGTCTGACCTGGGGCAGTAGAAATTTCCCACTGACTGAGTCAGGCCATTGTTACGAGTACATATGCGCAGTGGTTCTGCAGGGTCTACTGACAGCTATGACTGTACTTCGCTTAACAATAAACCTGGCCGGGCACCTTTCATCCTTATCTGGTTGATGGTCTTTGGGGGCTCTCTTGGGTCTGCTGTGGAGACTAAGTGCACAAGTCGCCACGGCCCACATCACTGAGCGCACACGCAAGCAGCCTTCTGGGTCTCATCATCGACGGAGCCAGAGACCGTGAGGACCCCTCCTGAATAACTACAGCGCAGCAAGTGCTACGGCTAGGAAGGGTGTCAAGCCGTCTCCAGCGCAGGCTCTCGCCCATGCCTTCCTCTTGCGTATTATGTGACAGGCCTGTAGTGGCGCCCACAGCGAGCTGGGCACTGCAAAGACACAATGAAAGCTCTAGCCCCCCGGTTGAGAGCTGGCAACCCAAGATCACGCCCGATAGAGCTGATTCTCCATGGCATGCAGTGCTTACGCTGAAGCCACGGGACACGGCGGCACTCCGGCCGGGCCGTGGAAGGGTGGATTCAGCATTGCGTGTAGTTTAGTTGCACAGAGCAGGGCAGGTCCACCCTTACCTACTGCCCACCCCCGGCCTGGGGGAGAGAATGACTCCCAGGTAATTGGCTTGGGGTGGGGCGGGGAAGGGAAGCAGCCTGTTTTAACAAGCTTAGGAATAATCAGTTGGCCTGGCAGCCTAACGCCCGATTCCTGCCCACAAGTCTGTTCCTTGTGGTGTCAACAACGTGAAATTCGCTCCTTGATTTTCATTCTGCAGCTGCCTCCATCATCAGGAAATGGGGAACGCAGGGGAACGCAGACCCGTTAGGGGGCAATTTCATTAGCTGGGCTCCTTTAAAGCTGCCGCATACGAGGCTGCAGACACTGATGCCTTAGCCACTCCACCCTCTCCCCTACCCTCCTCAGCAAAGGGCCCAGTGACAAGGGCATTTGCAAAACCTGCCCATCCTGTGTTTTGCATCATTGCACTTAGAAAGGCAAGCGACCCGACTGTGTGTTTATCTGTCTCTGGCCAGGGTTCTAAGTCTAGAGCGTCCGGGCTCTCAGAGGAGGGCTCCACCCGCACAGCAAGGAGGAAGTCACAATGTTTCTACACTGAGGTCAGCTGCAGATTTACCTGCGAAGGCTGTTTTTCCTCTCTGCCAAGCCTTGCACAACCGCTGGTCAGTTTTGCATCAGGTCTTAACACGCCTTAGATCACAGAACAAGAGAACTGGAAGGGACCTCGAGAGGGCATTGAGTCCAGACCCCTGCCCTCACGGCAGGGCCCAGCACGGTCTAGACCATCCCTGACAAGTGTGTGTCCAACCTGCTTTTCAATATCTCCAGGGATGGAGATTCCACAACCTCCCTAGGCAACTTATCTTCATTAATGCACAGGTCTCTGCTATCTCTATTTTAATCATCCATTTCCAATCACCTGCTCCAAACATTCTGTCCGCAAAACGCCATGGGCATTTCCCCAACACCCAGAAAAAAGGATGGGTTTGGATCGCTTTTCTCCCCAGGGCTTGGGGGTGTTTTTTTAAGCTGCAAACTGCCCGTCCTAAAACCCAACGTTTCTCCTGCCATTACGCCACGTTCAGTCTCACCACGTAATAAGCCTCGGTCCAGATCTCTAAGCTGCCAGCAAAACCCGGGACACCCAAGCAGAGCACTCAGCAGTCTAACAGGGAAAGACCAGAACAGGACCAGGATACACCTCAGAGAAAGCTCAGCGAGGTAGGCCAATGCCCACACACTGCACTCTGGATACACGCGGAGATGCACACCGGAGCAGGACAGACCAACTACCCACACGCCTTGCAGGGGCCTACACAATCGACCAGTACGGGAACAGAACCGGAGCGTCATGCACGCAGCTCCCAGAGAGCTGGGCTTCTGACAGGAAATAAGCACTAGGAGTATGCCCAAAGCACGGGATGGGGTTCCCTCTCACTTTGCATGTCCCTGTGCAGAATCGACGAGGAGTCCTGTGGCACCTTATAGACTAACTGAAGTGTAGGAGCATAAGCTTTCGTGGGCAAAGACCCACTTCGTCAGATGCATGTAGTGGAAATTTCCAGAGGCAGGAATAAATATGCAGGCCAGGATCAG